AAGATGTGGCTCAATAAGAGTCTACTCACTTTTGTGACGTGCTGTATGGGACACCACTTATCAGGCACTCATAATGCAGATCACTGCCAAGCACCATTCACACACTGAGTCCTGTTGGTTCACCTGGTTCTCCCCACCATTCAGAACCTCTCAGATTAGAGATCAGGTGCCTTTAAGAATCAAAAAGACGTCCAGCTGTCTTCTACTGAAGCAGTGTGGATTATCAAATGAGTCGATAAATGCATGGGCTTTTCATTTCGAGTAACTGCGAGAGTGAAAAGAACTTTTAAACAAATACAAGTTGAGGTATATCATGTACAGTTTAAGATTCTAGAACTCTGCTGTTCCTATGTGAGTGTGGAGGAAGAAGGGGATGGAAAGACTATGAAATGTTTTCATTTTAAAGCCTAAATGAGCCTCTTACTCTCTCTTACACACCGTTAAACATTCACTATGCACAGTAATTTGATTTGTTCTTAATTAAGCCTCTCCACAACCCGTGGGGTTCCTTTTTCGTGCAATATATTACAAATGCTACCGTGCAGAATGCTAAGTGAGCCATCAGGTGGTGGAGAATGTGCGGTGAAATGCTTGAAAATGGATCGCTTCACCAGGATATTTGCCTTGGCAAGTGCTCCCGCTCGGGTCAAACTGTAAATTGTGGGTTGGACACAGGTGGGGTGAAGGTATCATGTCGTTGTAGTCAGGTCTGATTACTCCTGCACGTAATGGTACCTGCATAGCACTTTGAAAGGAAGACTCACAGTTTGTGTAAATCCATTTGTCTTCATCCCCCCTTTCCCCTCCTCCTGAATATGCGCACCAGCTTGAATGCACGAGAGCTGATTTGTTTTATTCCTCCGAGAGCCGAACAATAAGGAGTTTGAAAGCTCTCTGTGGTTCTGTCTGGGTTCCTTTAGATGATCTTGTCAGGATTGTTTCTGCCTCTAAAAATAGGAATTCATTAAATGTAATAATTGTACACAGTGATAGAGACAATGATAGAGTGTGACACTGTTGATCTTACTGGAGCCGAAAGACGCGTCATCATATCTCCCTATTAACCCCGAGTCAGTTTCTAGAAATAAGAAGTGGTTTTGGAGAAACTATGATTTTATGGTTAATATCAAGACTCCCCTAACCTTAAAGAAGTAAACAAAAACTGTAAAATAGGCTGATATTACCCAGTCATCATCCAATCATGACACTTTTTTTATTCAGTTTGGTGTTAAATATCCCTTGGTCGCATGAAAGAGGCACTTAAACCTCCTGGAAAGCAGCACATCTTCACTCAGGTCATGCTGCACGGCTGGTGTTACATTCAAACGAACAAAGACATCAGGATTTTTCTACAATCTCACTTTCTGATGATGAGCAGTGCTGAGAACTTGTTTTGTGATTCTATTTCTATTCAGAGCATTCATGTTTGGCAAGAACATGATTGTGCAGCCAGTGCAGCTCTTTGTATATATATGCAGTCTGATTTAAGTCTCTAACATTCATGTCAATCACACAAATGTTCACATTGCAGTATCAATTCTTTGCAGTCCTTTAGTGGCTGAAAACTGACATTACACGATAGCAAAAGAACGGCTAGAATTTAGTGTGGAACATACCAAAGCATTTTCTTTACCTTTAAACTATTATTATCAATATATGACAGTTTATTTGATAAGTTGCCGTATTGTTTATCACGCTGTATGATCTGAATAATCTGAAGAGAGGCAGTGAACAAACACTTCTAGAGTCGAGTGTCAGCGCACTGAAACTCTTGGATGTAAAGAAGATTAGGAAAGTGAAACCATCTGTCCCACTGAAGCGCCCTTAAGTACATAAATCTGCCGTGAACTTGCTTAGGGGGGCAAAAGTAGGAGCGAATAACTCCTGGGCAGAGTTCCTGCATGTATGTAACCTGCAAGACCTGCAGCTATTTCCACTGCTGTTACACTTGCAAAGTGTTTTACTGAACCTTGCTGTTTCAAGTTGGAGTACAAGGATTTTGGCAAATATATATATATAGATATGTCATATTAAAACTCCAGATGGGCTTGTTGAGAATCTCTGTATACTAGGAGCATGTTTGATGTTGGTGCTGTTTGGACATTACTAGACAACTGAATATTGACCTGATGCCTCTAATAAGTGTTATCTTTTTAGACAAAGGCACATACATCGTATACTTCTGCATCATGGAGATCAACCAGTGGGTGACGTGTTCGTTCACTACAACGAACACACACATTGTGCTTTATTTCAAATGAAATCCCAAATGCACTTCCTGTTGCTGAAAATCTTACAATAGCAGATCTGTTTGCAAATAGCCCCCCTACAAATGCACAATTAATTCTTGTTAAAAAGAAAAAAAAAAGAAGAAAAAAAAGACATACTGTTGGTGGATCTTTATGATTTATATGTTCAGTGGGACTTTATTGGTCTAAGGCTGGGAGCTGCTAAACACTTTGTGTTGTTCTTCTCGTGGGATTTATTGACAACAATTAAATTGTATCACACAGGAACACTAGAAAAGGCATCACAGACAAACTAATGATTATGAAGGAGATTTTTTAAAAAAAGTCCGGTGCGAAACCTGTAGCAGCAGGAGGGAAGGTTTGCCCCCTGGGAACGTACAGCGCATGCGTGTGCTTTTCAGCCCGATTATTTAGTCCTATTTTCATTTTGTTTCCGTTTTTATGTCACTGTTAAGCTTCTTCTTGAATCGCTTAGAGAATATTTCTTTATTTCGCTACGTTAAAGAGCTAACAAAAGTCTCCACGTGAGGTTTGTGAGTAGGCGTATGACGCCGCTACCCATCATGCACTTCGCGCGAGATTTCAAATGTTGGTTAAAAGCTTTATTTTATAGTAAAGCAACACGACTAAAAATAATATTTTCCCATACTGTTTATTTTTAAGAGCACGTTATAAACAATATAAATGTTTTGCACACGCTTATCGGCAGCACCGTGAGTGTAAAGTGGATGTCCGTGAATGACCGTGTGCACTTTAACTTTTGGAAGTCGTACGCTCATGTTTCTCTTCAGATCGTATAAATCTTTCGCCTTTTACTAAAGATTTCCGTGGAGAGGAACAACATGAGTTCTAACTAATTTTTGATGCCCTGCCTTGTGCGGGGCTTGTAACCATGTGGAAAATAAATCCAAAACAATAATGGAATCACGTGACTGAACTGGAAGTTAGAGAGCAGTATGTGAACTACCAGAATACTTGTTAGAAATAAACCTAAGGAGTTTGCAGTTTTTTCATTTATTGCCTATTAAGGTTATATTGCACTGATTGTATTAATTGCAATTATGGATAATGGCGCGTTTTATTATTTGTCATCTTGTTATTTATCTTCAGCTTCATTAGCCTTGTGTTTGGAATTACTCATTTTGATATCATGCTTTTGCTTCGTCTGTCACAACTCTTTTTAAACCGGTGATATTAAAAGGGAATTATTATTATTATTATTATTATTAGTAGTAGTAGTAGTAGTAGTAGTAGTAGTATGACAACAATAACTAGTTGGGAAAATGTCCAGATTTTTTATTTTTTTACACGTGCAGAATTTGCCCCATTCATAAGTTTTAATTTAAAAGAAAGAAAGAAAACTTCTTAAAAATAACCTAGATTAATGTCATCCAGTTAAAATGCCTACCACCTACTCTAGAGTTTTTTTTTTTGTTTTTTTTTAAGAAAAAAGTATATGACTAATTTCAGCAAAACAAAAAAAAAAAGGTTATGACTAATTTCAAAAACACCTTATGACAAGTGAAAGAAGAAACCAAGAAGCCACTGCTTCTCTATTACAACACAATGTTTCAGTCAATCTTATCTTATTCTACATTAAATCGTTCTTAAAATTAAAAAAAAAAAAAAAAAAAAGATTTCCCAAGTGTTTCTGATATATCTAAAATTCTTTGCAAATGTGTAATTGTATTTGACATGAGCTTCCAACAGAGGGCGCACTCGTGCAACAAACACGGTGAAGCAGTGTTCATGTTACAGCACTAACACAAATACTAAGAGAGGTACAGTTGAATCCAGAAGTTTACATATACTGTATAGAAAGACACATAACCTTTTTTTTTCTCACTATCTGACATTAAATGTGACTAAACTTTTCCTGTTTCATGTCAGTTAGGATTACCAACATTATATCTATTTGCTAAACGCCAGAATAATGAGAGAGAGAATTTTTGAGAGTATTTTTTACTACTTTCTTCAAAGTCAGAAGTTTCACATACACTAAGATGCCTTCAAACTGTTTGGGAAAGCCCAGATGATGATGTCATGGCGTTGGAAGCTTTTGATTGGTTAATTGACAACATCTGAGTTAATTGGAGGCACACCTGTGGATGTATTTTAAGGCTCACCTCAGACACACTGCTTCCTTTTGTGACAACATGGAAAACTTCTGACTTTAAAGAAAGCAATAAAAAAAATTCTCTCTCTCATTATTTTGGTGTTTAGCAAATAGAAATAATTCTGGTAATCCTAACTGACTTAAAACAGGAAATGTTTAGTTTGATTTAATGTCAGACAGTCAGAAAAAAAAAAGGTTTTATGTCTTTTTACACAGCGTATGTAAACTTCTGGTATTTGTATTATATCTTAGGTCATTCAGTAAATGCTTTCTTGTGCATGACAGCCCAAAATTAAGACAAATCATGACTATATCTCTAATATAAGATTTTAAAAAATTGGGTTTTTCCTGTTTTTTTTTTTTTTGCTTTTTTAAAAAGTTTGTTGTTATGTTATTTTCAGTGTTGCCACGTTGTTATGTCACCGCGAGTCACCGGTTTGTCACTCCGTCCGTTTCACGCTCTGTCAGAGCCAGAAAAAGAATGCACATATCGAAAACACACCGGGAAGTATGGTTAAAGTCAGACTTCCCATTTCTCGTGGCTTCAGCGCTGTGATGTCTCACCGGTTCTTCCTTCAGTAGAGTCACGCAGGCACGTAGAACAGGAAACTAGAGCAAAGCAGACGAGCAGAGGCAGTGCAGGTTGAGCTCTACAGCTGTGTACAAGCAGCAACGCTTCAAGACTTCATCCAATGACGGGGAGTTTTTGTAAACAAAACCAGGCAAGTAGACAAATTAATATCCCACTATCATACTTCAGGGTGTGAAACTCCAAGGTAAGATTTCTTTCATTGCTGAGTGTGTTTTTCTTTAAGCATGAAGCTGTATTCCAATTCATTTGAGTTGAACCCTCCTGTTTCTTCTTTTGTAAAAAAAAAAAAAAAAGGAAAGAAAAAAAAACAACTTTTGAATTGCTAAATTGAGTATGTCATTGTGAGGTAAATATAACTCTTGCTAATGAGTAAGACAGCTTGGCAAAGTACATTTAAACTGTTTATTTTCCATGTTTTATGTTCTTTTGCATTCTTCTATAAACTTTACAATGCATATAACATATTTAAGTTGCTCACATCTGTTTAAAAAAATGCAAATATTAATGGATTTAACAATACAGCTGCAACAAAAACACAAAATTGCACTTATTGCATCTGGATGAGCCCTTTCCCATCACGTTCTGTTGGTTTTATATTCATTATTTCAATATATTTTTCGTCTTATATGTGCCTCAGGAGACAATAGAAAACCATAAATAGCCCGAGTGCTTCATGAACACAACAGAGCCCGAAAAGGCAAACTGAGATTGCCAGGTGACGTCGCGCTGACGCCGAGCGGAGGTTGGTGCAGGCTTCCTGTCTTGTGGCAAGGCATTTTTCGGTCTGCAGCTTCAGTCGTGTCTTAGCAAGTTTAGGTTGAAGTTGCTTTGCAGCAAATGGAAAGCAACTTCCTGTCTGGTTCTGTGCACAGAAATAGAGAGTCTGATCTCTGCCAGGCCTTTTTTGTCCATACGCTTAACTCCAAACTGAAACCACATCAGCCTTTCTTGTAAATCTGCATTCTTATGATAATATCAAAAACTACCCATGGGTGAATTACTGGACGGGCCCAAGAGGTACAGAGATGGTTAACAGGCGCTCAAACAGATGGCAAACTGCAAAAAATATGCACAATGAACACAAAATAATTGTAAATAGACTCTAAACAACTACAAAATGTCTGTAAAATGGTGCAAAATGACCACAAAAGAGACACAAAACAACTGTAAAGTGTAATTTTCAGCCTGGTCACTTTGCTTCTATGTAGGAAGGGTGGAACCAGCTTCCATTGCTGTGCTCAGCGACCTGTTACCTCACAATCTGACCACACAAGCTTTCCGTAAGAGACCAAGGTGAAGAGTCAAGTCATTATTTACGCTACATTAGTGAGCGCGCCCCTGTGCAAAATCACTTAAATGTCAAATAATGTGAAACTGCATCACCTTCCAGCGGTTTTGTTACGTCTCAGTTAAACAGCAGGGAATTGCTCTTGTGTGAAATTAAACACTAACAGCTTAGATTTTCTAAAATAAAACAATACAGGCTCCAAAATAGGAACTTAGTTTGAATTGTGTATTATTTTTCAGTGCTTCATATTTTCACCTTTATCTGTGGAGGATACTATTGTTGCACAGGTGTTTTTTCAGCTTGTCTTTGTTGGAAGGGCCATGTTGGTTTACACTTTAAAATACCAAACTATTGGATTCAAGTCAGATGACACTCTTGATCAGTTTTCACCTTGTTTTTCTTTAGAAGCTCTGATGGGGTTTTGACAGCGTGCTTTGGATCATTATCATGTTGGAATATTCCTCCTCTGCTAAGCCTTTGCAGAGTGGGAGTCGTGTTATGAGCCAGTATTTTGGTATAAAGGTCATGTCTCCAGCATATCAGAACATTCCCACCTCCGTGCTTCACTGTCAGGACGATGCATTCACTGTGGTGTTTGGGTTCACGGCAAACATGCTGGACCTCATCAGAGCTGAGCAAATGTATTTTGGACCAAAGGATGTGCTCCCAATATATTTTAGGGATCTTTTCATGTCCTTTAGCAGAATTTTATGTCAACAACAAGCAGAAGTGTTTTTCTTGAATGCCATCCAAAAGAGGCTGCTATCATAAACCGTTATCAAAGCAACTCAGATGTCCACTGATAAGCCCTGTTCACAGTGTAAGGCAGCTTCCGTCTTGTTTTTTAGAAAAAGGTTTTGCAAGTAGCACACTGTCCATGGTGTCATATTAGGTCGACCACTGCAGCTCTTTTTAATGGTGCTACCTCTTGATTACTGCTGCAACTGTATTTCCACTGGTTTTCATTGGTCGCCAATCTTATCGCATCATTTTGTGTCTTTGTTTAGCCTCATAATAAGATTTACCAGTCGTTGTGGTGATTTTTTTCCATGAGGAGCCTTGATGCAGACATGATACACACCTGAGAAGTTTCTGGTGTTTACAGCTCATTTTAAAACTGTGTTTAGTCACGTGTTTTTTCACTTTGTTTCAGTGATTACAGGTTTATTTACTTACAGTCGTCCTCAAATGTATTCATACCCTTCCATTAAAGAAACGGCAAAATTCACAATAGTCACTCAAATAACCATCCATCCATTATCTATACACCACTTAATCCTCAGGAGGGTCGTGGGGGGTTGGAGTCTATCCCAACTGACTTAGGGCGAAGGCAGGGGACACCCTGGACAGGTC